TTCTATGCTGTTTTTGTGGTTGCAATCACCTGTTGATATACATCGGTAGGAGAGGAATTTTACCCTTGTGATTGTGCATTTTTGCTTTCCTCATGTCTCTAATATTAATATTAAATGCAGGGGAAGTTATAATAAGTTTTGTGGCATAGGAATAAAAGTGGTAAAGCAGGATTTTTCATGCCTTGAAAAAACAAAGCAAAGCAAAGCGTGCTGCTTATATACCGCCCCATAGTGCTTCAAGCATTCTCTGGGCGGTTTACAAGTTAATTAATACACATTGCCCCCCCCCAGCAAGCTGGGTACTCATTTTACTGACCTCGGAAGGATAGAAGGCTGAGTTAACCTTGAGCTGGCTAACTGGGATTGAACCCCAGGTCGTGAGCACAGTTTTGGCTGCAGTACAGCAGTTTAACCACTGCGCCACAAGCCTCTTATAATGCTACATTCACCCCACTTCCTCAAGTGGTGAGGCTTTCAAGAGGTACAGTGTTTACACAGATTCAGTTTCCTTGGGGAGATGTTTGCTTGAAGATCTCAGTGTTCAGAGATATTTGGATTGATTTACAAATATACAAGCTGGGCATAGGTAATGAACAGCTTAAAGACTTTGAGAGGGAGCCAGTTCTGCTGACATCCTGATCTCAGATCTCTGGAGATAAACCACTTCCCAAAAAGGCTCTTTCTCCAAGCTTGCGGAGCCCAAAAATTCAGCTCCTACCTTCTGATTCAAAATAACTGCAATCTGACCTTGCTATTTGCTGACCAAGGTAAGTAGCTTGCCCTCTCCATTTGGCTGATAGGGTTAGTGTTAAAGTTAAGCTAGCTTTGCTAAAGTCCTGGCCTTCTCTGAGTCGTTCGCCTGCATGAAAGATAAAGCTATGATTTTTACTATGAAAGAAAAGATAGTCATTTTGAAATTATTGACCATCTGTGTTCCAGACTCCACTCTAACAATAATACAAGTACAGGTGTGACCAGTACTCTGATCATGGAAGTGATGCCTCCACCTAGTGGGGTGAAGTGCCCCAGTATGCCTCCATGCATACATGACAGGTCACCAACACAATATAGTATGAGCACTTAAACTGAGTAGTTAATGTAATTTTTTCCTCATTCTTGATTTGAAAAAAGCTCTAATAAAACTGTTAACCACTTAGATTTTTGTTTCGGTACAGGAGTGAAAAGACCAGCATCTTTTTTTTCCCCAGCATTGTTAGCAAAAAAACAAGTAAAACACATAACATTGTATTTTATTCAAAATCCTTTTATTTTGTGTGAAAATACTGAGTCATGGAGTATTTTCACATTCCTTCTCAAAGTAGCTTGCGTGTGCTCTTTACTTGTGAGTCTGAGAGACTGGACAGAAACTAAAGGAGTAAGATCTAATATGTGAGGTTCCATGCCACATTTCAGCTTTGCTGATTTAGTCACATTTTAACTGTAATTGATTGAAATACTCTTAATCCTATAGTTCAATAATTCTCTGTGGGATGCCCATGGACTATGGGATTCTAGGCTATGTTCTCAGTTTGAGCGAGAGGTTAGCTGTACTGAAGTCAGTACAGGAAGTAAATTAGTATGCAAAATAACCCTATGAATTTGCATGTAAATAGGCAACAACATGTGATGCCAAACTGTATCAAATGCACAACAACAACTGGCTTGTATTGAATGGGATAAAGCTTATTTGCCCATTTCAGTGCTGAGAGCACACACAAAAATTGAAAAATTTTGAAGGTTGATAGACATTTCTACAGGCTTGAGCAAGCTGGATAACTGAAAGAGAATTAATGGGATAGGCCACATGCAAGCTCCCATCTTGACTTTGATAGAGTTAACTTTCAAGGTAGCACGCTTGGGATTGCCACCTTATTTTAATTCCTGATGCAGTTAGAATGTCTCTGTGAAAAGTAATTTTATTTTAAGTAAAAAGAGAGGTGGAACAGAGAGCTGGGAGAAGCTACTAGCAGGAGTGAACTTATATGTCCTGGGAGCTTCTTGTTTCTATCTCCGTTATCTTTGGTAGAGATGTGCATTCTTTCAACTCTTCCTTCTTAACTGCCTATTCTACCACTATTATAGTTTTAGCTAGCATTCACAGGATGAATAACACGATGCAGATCATTTCATTTCTTTTTCTTTTTTAATGTGTTGAGTTGGAACACTAACTTAGTGCATTCCTTCTGCTGTGTCATATGTTAGAACATGCAGGGCCTCTTGGTCATAAACACATAGCCCCTTTGGTGCAGATATAAGTGGTGTATGAAGTATTATTCCTTCTTGAATTAGCGGTTGCAGAAGATTTGAATCTTTGTATAATCTTGCAATCCGCTAATGTGATATTTAATGAGCAGACATCATTCTGGAGAAAGGTAGTCAATATAAATCAGTGTTTACAAAGTGTGATTAACTCTGAAATATTTCATCAATGCTGTGGTCCCAGGCAGGCTCTATGCTAATTACCAGAATCTATGCATGTTTCAAGGGACTTCCACAGATCTGAGTGCAGCAAACATGGAACAGCAAAATTGCAATTATGTCTGGACTGTCTCTGATGACAATTTATGCATTTGGTGTGATGACCTCCCACTTCCCAAGAGAGCAATGAACAGAATGCATTTTCATTAAGATACTAATGCACTTAATCACAGGGGAAAGGGTAAGAAAGAAAGAAAAATACCTTTAAAGCCAGTTGGGCCAGCACTTGATAGAATTTTTTTTTTTTTGCATTTCAGGCTACATTGTACTGAATGTAGTTCTGAATAGCTGGACAGATGACAGCACAGTCATCTGATAGATAAGCTTCTTGTTATTGTTTTAGTAGTAGTATTAATAATGTATTTATTATTTGCATTTATACCCTGCCTTGCTTTGAGTAAGTGATGCACCCGATTCTTCTAGTCCAACTTTAACTTTGTAATAACCCTGTGAGATAGGTAATAGTTAGGCTAAGGGGCTGCGACTGGCCCATGGTCACCCAGTGAGTTTCATGGCAAAGATTTGGACCTATGTCTCCTAAGTCATAGTCTGACATTTTATAAAATTCTGGCTTTTAAGCATTACATTAATTTTCTGACATTGGAGGAGAACGTAAAAAATCCCCCTGTTGGGTCAAACTGAAAATCCATCAAGTCCGCCATAATAAATCCCCCACTGGCCAAAGAAATACCTCCACAGAGCATCCAAATAAGGTATAATTGAAAGCAGGAGTATGCCCCTAGTGTCTGTCTCTGCACATAGTAGTCAATAGCACTTATTTGTTCTATATACTGTATTCATGGTATTATTGATACAATAAAATCTCTTAAGTAGACTGCATTAAAGCACATACAAGTAATACAGCATGAAAAGAATGCAAAACAATTCAAGAACAATTTAAAGATAATCGTAAATTAAAATTAACCAGCTGATATGAAAACAGAATGAAGGAAGTAATCATTACTGGCCAGGGAATGTTAGCAAAACATGAATCTGTGTGTATTTTAAGTGGTCTGTGATCTCATAAAAGTATGTTTGATGTCCGCCATAAAGGTGGCCTTGGAGGGCTCCATAATAATAAAGACCTGGAATGTGTACAGAATGGGCTTTTATGCAACAAGTAGCTCAAGGTAGCTTATAAACAGTCACCCCAGATTATCTTCACAGCCAGGAAACAGTAATTTAAGCAGAGTGAACTTCATGGGCAGGATTTTTGAACCCACACCTCTTAGATCCATGACAATCCACTGTTGTTCACTGGCTTCTCAGTGTTGAATAAAAATAAATCCATAATTTTGGGGGCCTTCTGGAAAGGTGAGAAGGTGTCTAGGTCATATCCCAATGCACACACAAGCAGAAGCAGATGTAGTGTCTCTTTTCTGAAATTGCATTGATAGCAAATTATTTAAGTGTAGATTATTTAATTCACATTTGAAGTTATCCACAGGGACCAGAATTCCGCATGTTTACATAAGTTTTCCATAATTTACTGTGCTTAATTTCAGCCAATTGATAGAATGTTGGCCTGTCACGATTAACCCCAGCAGCTTTTACAAATTTTACTGGCCAAAATCTTGTCGTACAACAAGATTCTGGCCAATGAGGAAAATATTGAAGATCTACCAAACTTCAAGGCACATTAGGTCTGAATAATTTTAAGTGCATTATTTTTGCCTTTTTAAAAATTTCTGCATAGAAGAAGAATGTCAGTGTGGCTATGAGAACAACCCTATTTGTAAAATAAATCATAAAAATAAAATCAGTTCAATTGCTGGCAATCACTGGTGCACCACAGTGCATTGGCCACTGTGATCAATGCCATAAATATCTCCTGAATAGGCTACTGTAACTGACTCTAGGCAGGGCTGCAGTTGAAGAGTGATTAGAGTCTACAACTCAGGCAAAATATACTGGCCAGATTATTGTCTGGAATGCACGTCTATGCATGTTAAGCCATTCTGAAACCAGTTACATTGGCTTCCAGTTTGTTTCTGAGCTGACCTCATGAGGGCTCGATTTGATCTTAAAAGTCCTAAGTATCTTGGGGCCAGGATATCTCAAAGGCAGGTGCCTTCACTGTGTTCCTGCCTAGAGTTTGAAATTCTCAAATGCCTTTTATGCATTATACCAGAAGCCAAGTTAGTGTATAAACAAGGTAGCAGCACCTGACGTATGTTATGGAGCTGGCTTCTAGGAAAGCCAAGCTAGATCTGTTCTTCAGCTTCATGCCAAGTATACATTATTTTTGTATGGAATTTTGTTTTTAAAACTGGTTTTAATTTGGCTTCTAGATAATGTTTTATATTTTTATGTTTTTAAAATAATGTTTGTATTTACTGGGCATTGGTTTTGGGGCTTTGGTGAGCAGGAAAAGTGGTGAATGGATAGCTTAATTAAATAAATAAACCTTCCATCGCATGCATTTATTGTGTACACTTTCAGCAATCTATGTGCAACTCTGATTATATTAGGATGATTAATATAAATATATTCCTTCTTTTTCTGTACCCTGAATGCCACAGGCAATATAGAATACAGCTGTCCAGCAACAAACGAATGTGAAATCACAAAGCGCAGACGCAAATCCTGCCAAGCTTGTCGTTTTATGAAGTGTCTAAAAGTTGGCATGCTGAAAGAAGGTAAGGTTGATCACGTCTTTTTATGTAATTTTGTCACAAACACTGTTATGAATGGCAGTTACTGGGGGGGGGCACTTATAACAATTCTGTCTGCGACCTTTCTATTTTTATTTATTTATTTTTTTACTATATAAACTTACAAATCTAGTACAACACCATAAACAGAGCAGAATAAACCCAACTAGTTGTTTCCTAATGATCACAACATATTTCTGAATAAAAAGTTTTGAACTAATCTCCTGAAAGTCTTGGATGAGCTAGCCAAGAGGGATTAATCATGAGGCAAATTCTAAAGGACAGGTAATAGTGGGGAAATGATCAGTTTTAAAATACAAGTGCTCTAAACTATGTTCTTCCATATGAACAAATAATTTGTGGCTGTTTTCATCTATACCCAGAGCAGTGCCTTTGTAAAGCCACTAGGTCTTCATTACCTATTACAGGCTGAGCCATCTCAAAATGTTTTGCATTGCAATAGATAGTAAATTGTTACTGGGAAAAATCCATGTTCTCGGCCCCTATTACTATGAGGACTGCAGCTGAGTTTAGAGGAAATAAGAAAGCCATAGGTGGGTGGCAGTTAGCATTGCCTCTGCCAATGAAATGTTCCCAATGGTCTAAACCTTAGAGTCCTGGCGCCACTGTGTCACTTTAATGAAGGGGGAAAAACTCCGGGAAATCCACATGCTGAACCTCATGTCAATAAGTGGAAACATGCAGAAAAGTCATTCCTTTAAGTACTCGGGACATTATATGGGGTTATTTTGGAACAGAACTGGCATGTTGTGATGGAAATGACTGGTGCATCACAGGAACAGAAAACCTTCCTAAGTTCTCTTTTATTACTCTGTTCTGTTTTTGTGAATGGTTTAGACGCATTGGATATGCTATCAGAAATGTTTCTAGATCTGCTTGAATGTTGAATTTACGTATTGACTTTCAAGAGAAGTAAGCAAAACCAGTGACATTTTTAGGCACTTTTTGATTATTCCTTGTCTTCTGAATTTGAAAGCTCTGGCTGGAATGTTGTGTAATATCTAGTATTGTATTATATTTAGCATTGCTTTCAGCAATGAATTGCCACAAGTTAAGAAGCTGGCATAGGGGTTTCTCTACACACATTAGATCACGTGACTGGAAGTGGATACCCCAACTTCTTACATTTTGCCGTTTCACTGCTACAAGTTACACTGATGCTGTTATACAAATGAATGTCACTAATAGTATTTTGGCCACTGAATAAATAATATCATAAACGTCTTGTTGATATGTTTCTTCGGCCTTGCATTTCCCCATGGCCAGGGTTGGTAAGATATGAAAGCTAGACTCATATTTAGCTCATGAACCTTCAGCAGTAGTCTTCAACCTGTTCAGAGCTGGTGTCTACCTTGAACACAAACATCTGTTGGTGACACACTTCTTCTCTACAGTATTTGTACTGTCAGAGTGAATGGTGTTTACTCTGTGTGCAAATCAGTAGAGTTCTCAGTTCACTAATTAAAGACCAATCCACTATTTGGAAGCTGCCTCGAATATTACCTGGGAAGGTGGAAAAGGTGTGCATCCAACTAATGAGTGAATCCCTAATTTAAAATACACAAATATACTTTGTGGAACGGAGGGATATTTTAACAGTACAGTCCTATACATGAAAAGGTAACACTGAAGGAGGCTAACAAACATAATTAAAAAGATTGAAAACAAAACAAATCAAACAATAAAATAATTTAAATCAACAAAATAAGCAAAATCATAAAAATCATAACAAATATACTATATTTCTGTCACAATTTAAAGAAGATAATTAAATTTAATTAATGGTTTAATTAAGGCAAATTAGATGTGTCAGTGTTCCTATCTAGAGAAATCCAAATTGAATTCTTCCAGTAGGACAGCTCATGTCCCACATGATAGTGTTAAACAATTGGTTTAAAGTACGTTTTCCAGTGAAATGTAATTAGATCTTCAATTCAAAAAGTGAAGCCTGCGCCTTTTCCTAAACAACCAGTTTCCCCACAGCTGCTGTTCCCGGAAGAGCATGGACTGACAAAGAGAAGACAGAAAAAAAAATTAGGTCTATCACATACCTACAGACATATTCTTATTGGATTATATTTGCTAAGAATAAACCTCATTCTGTGTGGGGTTGCTTTGGCAGGCACTATGATCCTGGGAGCCAAAGCCTGCTGCCTTTCGTCTTATTCCGGAAAAAATCCTGTCTAATTCAGTAGGAATTTTGCTTCACTGAGTGATACGGGGTTTGGCTATTTTTTTTAAAAAAAATCAGATCTGGATAGCACTTCCTCCATATGGAAAACCTAATTTTTTTCATAGGACAAAACCACAGTACACAAAATCTTTAATGGAGGCTTCGGATGAACCCAAAACATGAAAAGCATTCTTGAATATGATTTCTTTTCAGACAGTTGGCAATGTTTAACACATTTGGCCAGTTGAAATGGAAAGCTGTTTTGGGCGCTAACATCACCGTTTTCCTCCTTCAGGTAGCAAGCTTTTTGCTGCCATCTAGGTCTGTGTGAAATCTAGGTTTGTGAATGGACTCTTCTTCCCAGCCATTTGCTGTTCTTTTGTTGTTTTGTTTTGTTTTCTACACTACCTTTGAGTGATATCCCATCTTCAAGGAAAATAGGCCCCAAAGAATATGTGATGATAGAGTGGCATGTCTGGAACTCCTGATAAACAAATATAAGCTTTACTATAGAAAGAGAAAACTTCAGCTCGAAAAAATTGATTGGAGAGATGTGGTTTCTTCTTCTGAGAAGCCTTTCCTTCTCAGCACCATTTCTCCATTCAGAAGTTACGCTCTTTGCAGCAGCAGGGGTGAACTCCCCAGACACAACTGCCCTCGTAGAAATCTCGTGACCTTGTAACTACTTTAAAGTTTAAAAGAAAAACAAACAAATCCAACCAGTGGTTGTAATGTGGAAGATTCCATCTGTTGGCCATCTGAAACCGTCTGAAGGGGTTGAGGGAAGCATCCATTTGGCTGAACTTCTAGAGAACAGAGACTCACTAGAACTTGTCTTGGTTTATGGATTAATTTCTCTTTTATGTTTTGCATATGGCAGCTAGATGGAATGCTTGGAATACTAGTAGTGTCCAGAAAAATAGGAGACAGAGATCACCTGTTCCATCAGGTGGAAATGTTGCAACCATATCTTTACTTTTACTGGTAAACCCAACCACAATTCTCTGGGGTCAATTTTAGAAGAAAACAGGAGGTGTCACTATTATTCCTTATCCATTCCTTGGCCTCAGTATTTATTATGTCAGCTGCAGGTTGACATGACGTGATCTAATGTGCCAAAATGGATTATAGTGCTCATGTGAAATATTTGAAGGTTGATGGGTGGAACTTTTATTTTTCATTTGTTGAAATACAGTCAGCCGTCTATTGGCAAATGCATGAATATGATGTGCAAATTAAATAATCACTGATTATAATGTTTCTTCCTTTTCAGTTCGAAGTTTTTAGTTTATACTGTTGTTTTTCCACCATGCAAACAAAAACAACAACAACAAAAAAAAACCCACCACACAAAGAATGTAGAGACATCAAGATAAATCTATTTTTGCTAGAACAGTTTAGTTACACTGGAACGATATAGGATTGACTGACTGTGCCTCAGATACGTTTTCAATATGAAACAAAGATTTTAATCCCATGCAGCGTGTCAGAGATCTTGCTGGAGGAAATCTATTCATATGTAAACTTGTTCAATTCAATTACCAGTCTATAATGCAATTTATTGTTGCAACCTTCACGTTGGCTACAGCAGTGCTTACATGCCGATGGCACAGTGTGACTAAAAATTGATAGCCCAAATCTATTTACTTTTAAAAAAAGTTTGAAGTGAGACCTGAAATGAAATCAGATTTCAGTTTCTTTGAGAAAATATATATATCCTGCTGGAATTTAAGGACTATTCTCAGGTTGCTTGTTACATAAACATTTTTATAAAAGCAATAGGGAATGTATACAAATTAAATTAGTTCAAATGTCCATTTTGTCCAGCACTCTGTTTTCAGTTTCCACTTGTAGTTCTGACCCTTTGAGAATAAAGTTCCCGAAACAGAATACAGTATAGTTCTACACAAGCACAGTCTCCGTTCCTACTTTGTAGCTGTATGGACCTTACAAATAGATAGAGAACATACCACAAAATGCAGACAGCTTTTGTTTCGCATTCTCAATAAGCTAGCTAATTAAAGTGCCAGCCATGCTATATTCCTGGATGTGCTTTGCCATTCTTCCTATTTTCTCTCTCTTTCTCGACAGGTTAACTAGAATTCAATGGCTAATGCACATGCTTGGGTTCACTCTAGGCCCCTTTCTTTCCTCCTTTATTCATTTATTTTTATACTTATGGTTAGAGAGGTTTGGCTGCTTTAACATATACATTTGGAAAATTATTTTGTTGTTAATGCCCAAGGGAAAAGCCAATATACATTTGAACAATTCACACGTGTGTTTTTATCCCATCCTTTCTACAAAAAGTGGAAGGAAGTTACATATGTATGTGTTAAGATAAGCTATTATGTGCTGTCAGGTCGCCTCAGATTTGTGGCGACCCTATGAATGAGTGATCTCCAAAATGACCTGTCCCCAACTGCCCTGGTCAGCTCTTGTAAACTCACGCCTGTGGCTTCCTTTAGGGCAGTGGTCCCCAACCTTGGGCCTCCAGATGTTTTTGGACTTCAACTCCCAGAAATCCTGGACAGCAGAGGTGGTGGTGAAGGCTTCTGGGAGTTGTATTTGGTCTTTCTCTTTCTCTGCTGATTTCCTCCTTTCCCAGCATTAGTGTCTTCCACAGAGAATCCTGTGTGCTCAAAGTAGGATAGCCTTAGTTTTAATATTTTTGCCTCCAGAGATAGTTTTGGCTTGATATGATCTAGAACTCATTTGTTTGTCTTTCTGGCAGTCCAGGGCATCTGCAAAACTCTCCTCCAGCACCTCACTTCAAATGAATCTTTTTTCT